CAAATATAAGCCACAATGTCGAAAATCAATGACAATGTACTGTTTGACATGTTTTTTTATATTCAATTCATAAAAATTTAAAACATGTCAAACAGGAAAGTTGATCGATTTGACCATATCGCACCTAAAACGTGAATTAATATCGTGGCGATATTGATTTATTCGTTGTATCGGGCTGCCATTGAAAAAAAAATGAAACGAATGAAAGAACTTCGACGAATTTTTACTGACCCAATCAGTCCGATGTCATTAGCTGGAATGTCTGAAACGCTCATTTTTCATTCTTACTTTGCCTCGGGTTATAATTTAATAAAATATAAAAAACACCCAACCAAATAAGCAACAAAAAAAATACCAACATTCGAACAGCCAAAACTCTCATTGTTTTGGTGCTAATAATAATACATGAAACAATAAATTGCAAATATAATCGTTGTTAATCTAAAGTTTATAATTATGTTGTCATGACGATGTTTGAAATTAACCGATTTTTTATTTTACGTTACATTTGTTAAAAAAAAAATGAAATATTTTCTGAAAGCAGAATAAATTTTTCACGGCATAAACATCACAATATAAAAAAGGTCACGCCCTAACGCCATAATTAGTATTTCTCTATTTACACAACAAACAACGCAGACGATCATGAAAAAAAAGGTAAGGTGGGTTTAACAAGTAAATACGATTTGAATGGAAATTGATAAATGGTAAAGCACAGCTAAGGAAAAAGTGATCAAATAAGACTCAAAACATTTATTGCCCTAATTCAAAGGTTGATGTTGTATAATAAATATTTTTTACGAATGTTAATCATTTAATTGATCAGACGAAAATAGTATAAAGGAAAGACCATAATTGAAGAAAAAGACAAAAGATAACTAAAATCTTGATTAAGACATTACATAACATTTACTTGACACTAATTGACATACAAGCTGAAAGTTTTAAATATAGTCTTACAGCGGGACTCAATGAAACTTGAATGTTTCGTAACTAATAGCTATTGATTAGCTTCTTAAACGAAGTCATTCAAAGTTTAAAATGACCCCGTCAATATTAACCTTCTATGACTGGCCTTTCATTTAATAGACCATTTCGCTGTTTCTGTTTAATTTTTTTTAAATTAAGAAACACCACGCGTTGGACGATTAGGGGTGATGTGGATGTAATAAAATTGTGTGAGGTTCAAACGTTTCTGGAAAAAATAAATTATCTACCCTTCACGCTTTCTCCGAACATACTCGTGAGAAAAAAACACTTGTATAATTTTATTAACAAAAATTAAAAATAATATTTTGATGTATGGATGACGGAAGTTCATAAATCTAATTTCCATTTTGAATATGCTTGCCATGTTAAATTGATTTATATTTTCAATTAAATACAAAAACATATTTGTTTAACAACGTTTGATGAAAGAACATGTTTGTTTGAGGAAGAAGAATATTATATTTTCACTTGTATTCTGTAATAATTTTGTAGCGAATATAAATTTTTCTATTCAATCTCTTTCCATAATTGTATGTCTGGTTTGCATTTCGGAAAAACAGAAACAATTAATCAACTAGTATACAACATTTATTAAGAATCCGTCTTCCTTCGCTCACGATTTATTCATTCTATTTTTCTGTTTTACCGAATAAATATTTAATTCAGCTCTTGTTTCAAAAATTAATGGTGATTTAGGTTGTTTGTTGGACCAGAACCTAGGATGTATTCTATAAACATTTACGATGCTTGATCAATAAAAGATCATGTTCTCCGGTGGCTGGAAACTGGTTCTTCTCGCCGTTTAAAACGCCACCGTCAAGTTGTTATGGTATTACAAAAGAGCGCAAGGAACGCACCGAGAGACTGACAAGTGACGATTGTTAGCGCGCTGGTGTACTAGACTCATTAATCTTCTGACTTTATAACAAGTTTTTACCTTTTCGGACTTTGGACAACTTCAAGAAGAGAAATTAACAACCAAGAAAAAGGAGTACGCTTGAAAAGAATTTTTTTTTAAAAAGCGGACATAAATCGTTTTTAAAACTTGAAAAACTTCTATCCCTTGCAGAATCTTTTCATTAATGAAACCAAATTAGAAAAATACCCTGCATAACTTTTTAAAGTTAAAAAATGTATCATTGTGCAAAGTCAGTACAGACATTAAAAAATTATCTCTCTCATCCAAAAATAACTAAATCGTAGTTATCTTTTTCTCTTCCTAAAGGAGTTTCTTTAATATAGAAAATACATTAATACAATAATTAAAAAAATGGTTTAAAATTAATTTATTACATTAATTATTGAATCTCTTAAAATTCAAAAACTTTTTGCACAAGATTTACAATGTAGTTAGGTTGGTTGACGGTATTATTTCAATTTGTCAATAAAACTGCAAAATTTTAATTATTAACATTCCAAAAAATTAACCTTTATGTAAGGTATTGGTTAAGATAAAAGAAGCCAGTGTCACGAGCGGGATTCGAACCAACGACCTTCGGCTAAACACGCCGCTGCTTTACCACTTGAGCCTCAACTCACCTTTCGAATTTTGAAAAATGGCAAAAATGAGATAAAATTTGAAAGGTGGGTTGAAGTGAGAAGTTGGTGTCCGAGTGGACTGAAGTCACGATAGCACAAGTGGTAGAGCAACGGCGTATTTAACCGAAGGTCGTGGGTTCGAATCCCTCTCGTGACACTGGCATTTGTATATCAACCAATATATTACATAAGGATTAATTAATTGAAAGAAGTTATTTGGTCTATCGGACAAAGAAATATAATGGATTCCAAAAAATATTAATTGTAATTTGAAACCTTTTGGTTTTGTGATTTAAAAAAAAAATTAATATAACACAGTAATTATAAAAAAAAATATATTATCACGAAATCTATATGTTGTACTAAAGCAAGCTTGCTTAAGTAAAAATAAACACGGCAAATGTATAATTTATGAAAATGGTATGGAAATGTGTGCTTTTTGTATGATTGCCATAATAAAATACCTATTATTATTATTATTATTCTGTGGAAAATAAAGTGAAATAATTTAAGTCATAAAGTATAAATTTAAGTTAATAAGTCAAATAATTATCTCACATCATTGTCACGTAATTTCGAAGGAGGTACAATTCGTTTAGTTAACCTATGAAATATGGATTGAGTTTTTCTTTAATTACTAAGTGTACTGTTATTAACGAAACAAAATTTTATAGAGATAAGTGATGGCTTGTAAAGTAAGTCACGAACAACGCGTAAAATAAGTAAACAAAAAAATAAAGTAAATCAAACGAGAATTGTACATATAATACCATATATATATATNATGTAGGTTTTAGAAAAACATTTTCTTTATCGTGCCAACGTTTCGATCTTTATTGAGATCATCTTCAGGGCTCAAAGTGTTTGTCTTCTGTGTACTTGTGCCATTCTTGCGTGTCGTGTTGAGCGTGCCTACATCACACCAGACCGCATCTCACGATTTCTGAATAATTATCGATTAACGGTCACTAATCACCATACATAAATGATAATATTTAAATTACTGAATCCTTAGGAATCAATTTTATATCTTTATCACCTTCATATCAAAGTATTTTTTATATATAAAAAACTAACTACTAAAATAATTAAAAACTGTAATATTAACGTATTGAATCCGTAGGAATCGATTTTGTATTTTAACGCCGTAATATCAAATTATTTTTTCTATATATAAAAGAATTGCTTTTGTCTAATTAAAAAAATATAATATCAACGTACTGAATCCGTAGCAATTTATTTTGTATTTGTATCCCCACAACATCAAATATTTGTCGTATATATAAATGAATTGATTTTGTCTAATTAAAAAAAACATAATCTTAATGGACTGAATCCATAAGAATAAATTTTGTATTTTTAACGTCACAATATCAAATATGTTTTGTATACATAAAAGAATTGTTTTCGCCTAATTAAAAAAAAACATAAGCTTAATGTTCTGAATCCATAAGAATCAATTTTGGTATTTTAAACGCCACAATATCAAATATTTTTTGTATATATAAAAGAATTGCTTTTGTCTAATTAAAAAATATAGTATTAATGTACTGAATCCATAAGAATCAATTTTGGTATTTTAAACGCCACAATATCAAATATTTTTTGTATATATAAAAGAATTGCTTTTGTCTAATTAAAAAATATAGTATTAATGTACTGAATCCATTAGAATCAATTTTGTATTTTAAACGGCATAATATTACATATTGTTTGTATACATAAAACAACTGCATTTGTCTAATTAAAAGTCTAATTAATTATAATTTTAACGTACTAAATCCTTAGGAATCAATTTTGCATTTTAGAAGCCACAATATCAAATATTTTTGTATATGTAAAAGAACTGCTTTTGTCTAATTAAAACAATAATTTTAATGTACTGAATCCATAAGAATCAATTTTGGTATTTTAAACACCATAAAGAATTGCTTTTGCTTAATTTAAAAAAAAAAAATTAATTTCATACGCCATAATATCAAATATTTTTTATATATATAAAAGAACTGCATTTGTCTAATTACAAAAATATAATCTTAACGTACTGAATCCGTAAGAATCAATTTTCCATTTTAAACGCCTTAATATCAAATATTTTTTGTCTTTACTGCTTTTGTCTAATTAAAAAAATCTGAATGTACTGAATCCGTAAGATCAATTTTCCATTTTAAACTCCATAATATCAAATCTGTATTTATATATAAAAAAAATTGCTTTTGCTTAATAAAAAAATAAAAAATTTAAAAAAATTAATGTACTGAATCCATAGCAATCGATTTTGTATTGTTAACGGCATAACATCAAATTATTTTTATATTAAAAAAACTATTCTTTTGGATTTTAAAATTTTATATGGGAAATTTAAATTGTGTTACAAATTTATGTTAAACTCGAGAACCGTCGGAGCCAGGCCGCACCTCGGGGAGAAATGGATAACTCTGGTCGGTGAAATGTCAAAAAAAAATCCTTACTGGGTCCAGAGGAGGCAAGGTGGTCCAGTTTATTCTTCAGGCAATGAGCATGTTTTGCCGTCCCGGCGGAGAGTTGGAGCAACAGTTGGTGTTCACGGTCGGGGAGGAGCGGAGCGACTGAGTCCAACGAGGCGACGGTGCTGCCATTATTTGGCCTCGCCGGGCAGCACTTGTTGGATTTCAACGGGCACGATTTCAACCCCACTAAAATTAACCCCCAAATCAACCACCCAACGTGTTTTGGAAATTACGCAATTTCATTTGCGGACAGCGCGGATTCGTCCGGTCCGATACCAATCTTCCCTGACGTAGATACTCCTAATTGACTAAAACATTTAGATAAATGTATTCGCCACATCAACATGATACTTGGTTCAGTTATAACTCAAATCATTACGAATATAAATTTTCAAAATATTGATTGAGTTTGTAACTTTTTCTTTCCATCTCACGGTTTCTTCAGAAGAGCATTCGTCCAATCTGCTCTCGAAAGCACGTAATCGAAACTTGGTAATCCCTTGAAGTAATATCTTATCTAATTTACATTATAAGTTAGCATTGGATGAGCATTACATTTTTAATAGACTGACAAATACAATGAAAGTAAATTTGAAGCTTATTAATGTCCGATTATTCTGTTCTGAGCATTTTCTTTTGTCAACATGAACCACATTTCAGGACTTCACAATAAATCAATGACAATTACAAGCCACATAAAATTTTACAAACTAAACTGCTCAAAATGAACAGAAATACTGTCAGTTTTGTAGTAACTACTTTCCTTAGCATTTTTATTTTATTTTTTGATAATTGTATTAAAATTCCTTAGATTACTATTTATTCTTACTTAATTACTTCTACTTTTTACACAATTCTTAATATTTCTTAGAATTATTATGCTTTACAATATAATTAAGGGATTTTTAAAAAATAAAATGGTTTAATTCCATAATTTTTTTTATTGGACACAATAAGTTTTTTAAACAATTAATACCGTCTATAGTGTCCTCTTCTATCTAAAACCTCTGTGCACCTGTTAGGGATACTATCAATAAGGTTGACACTAACTTCATAAGGAATTTCACTCCATAGATGTTGTAACGCTGCATTCAGTTGTTGCAGGTCAACTGGCTGCGGATAGTGATCAAAAATTCTTCTCTGTAAGCATCCCTCCCAATGAAATCCCTAGTTTGAGGGATTTATTCCTCGATAACTCCTTGGGAATAATAATAATAATAATAATAATAATCGTTTATGTTAAAAACATTATCAAACGAAAGTGGGCGGCAAGATGGAATGTCTGTAGAGATAGTATGAAAGAAATTAAGCCAGTTGTACATAAATGGCCAACTGAGGAACTTGAGAGAAAAGAACTTGTGATTCTCTCTAGATTGCGAATAGGTCATATCAGGCAAATCCATAATAGGCTTTTAATAGGCAACAACCTTCCAACTTGTCCTCGATGTACGCGAAGTGGAGAACGCACCATTTTGACAGCAAAACATATTTTGGTCGACTGTCCCACTTTACAGCCCTTTAGCCAAAGGCTCAACCTTTCGAGTGATTTACAGGAGTTACTGGGTCCCCAGAGTTTCTTTCGAAGAGCACTTTTCAGCTTTCTCAAATTTATTGGAATTTATAATGAGATTTAGGCCTTTTCCCAAATTGTTATACCATTGAATGCCTGCTAATATTTGAATAAAAGTTGTGCGTGCAAGATTTCTTTTTTCAGAAGTTTTTGAGGCTGCCGGAGCGGAAAAATGAAATCGAAGAAAATACAAATTGCGGGGGAATAAACTGCAATGCTGTAGAATTAGTTATCAATTTGAATGGAAGAATAAAAGGATAAGGATTAGCCTATACTCATGCTGAGACTGTTGCTAGTCTGAATCCATTATTATTATTATTATTATTAGCCATACAAGCCTACGGGGAATTTTTAAATTATGGAACAAAAATTCACAATTCTAATTTAAAAAAGAAACATAAATAAATTTTATAATTTTATTAAATTTTATGCAATTTAAAATGGGAATTTTGTATACATTTGGCCTTCCGAATTAAGAATTTTCAAAAGAAAAATTAAAGCTTGGATGGCAATAGGATAAATTACATTACGAGTGAATGTTTGGAGTCAGAGCCTTATAGGACTCAGAAGGGATATAGCTAACCTAAGGTTTGGATGTTAGGGCGTGAAATGACCTTAGCCGTTAAAACGCCCTTAAAAATTAATAATAATAATAATGCTTTATTCAACATAAAAAAAGGAAAAAAAGACAATTTAGATATCAAAGCATTTAAGGCCATGGATCTTGGATCCGTCTGCCAGAGGTCGTTGATTAAACAATCAGAAAGAAAAAATACACAATAAAATAAAATAAAAGTGATAGCCTACGCAATAAAAAGGAAAAAAAAGGAGCAACAACAACTGCCAAAATGCGAAAGAGAACAGAAAAACAGGTTATACAATAGAAATCAAAAATTAAACTCATTAAGTAATTCATATCTGTAGTTCCATGCATGCCTAGCGTAACGAATTAAGGGCCGCGAATTTGAGCCACTCAAAAACCGTAACAGGTCAACCCTGGGGAGAGTGAAACATCCGAGATGCAACAACCGAATCTCACCCAGGGAGCACTCCGCCAAGAAGTGGGATACAGTTTCAATGGAGCGCGAATTACACAAAGAACAGATTCCCAATTCCCCTCTGATCCAAACAGCCGATTTTAAGTGCAAAACCTCACTTCTTAGCTTAAATAGCCATCGCAACTCATTGAGACAAAGACCGTCAAAATTATCTTCATGTAGGTCGAACAATGCAGGAGAAATTTGTACCTCCTTGTAAAGTGTGAGATGCGTAGATGCTTGGACACGTGACCGGCATTCTTCGTGATGTTGTTTTTTAATTTGATTAATAAGAATTGAAAAATGATTATGCCAGTCACAGAGGTTGTCTAAGGATATGAGGAAGGGCAAGTTGTACTTTTCAAACAAATATTTCCAGTGAGTGAACCATGAATTATTAGTCTTTATGACCGCCAACGATGTTATTTTTGTGTATCTAGTATCGGGAGACATCAGAACTTTCACAATATAGGAGCAGTAAAGCTTAAGTGTATATATCAAAATTAAATCCAAGTTGGTGTCTAATATAATATATGGTTTGGTGTACCAGATGGCAATGTGAACAACTTTCTTACAAAAAAAAACGTTGCACTTTTTCTATTGTTTCAAACCTCTGGTATGCCCACTTTTGACAGCAATAGCACAGAATTGCACGACTTCTTGGGAGTAGCGGACCATGATGAGGTTACCTTCAACAATATGGAGTCCAGTTCGTCCTCCACTGTAAATCTCAGCCCAGACCATTACATCGGATTTCAAAACTTCATTGAAATTAGCACCAGTTGGGGTGAGAACGCATCCCCTGTTCTCGGTAGACTTTTCCTCGCCTGCTATCACTGCAGACAGTAATGCGACTCATCAGTTAACATAACAACATTCCAATTGGTGTTCTCTCCTACGCACCCGCTGCGCCATATTCTCTTGAGTTGCTGGTGACAGGCAATTGCTGCAGGTCGTCTCAAAGGGGCGATGTGTGGTTGATAAAGGCTTTGCCAGAACATCTTGTGTAGGATCTGGCAAGCACTATAGAAAGGAGTCCGACTTGCAGCAATGACAATATTTCTGTCCTCCCTTAGCGTCGGAAAGGACTGAAATGCACTACAAGGTCTCCTTGCACTGGCACTTCCAGTGTCTCGGAACTGGGAGATCCACGCTCTGAGAAACGCCAACTGCCTCCGCGATATCCACTTGGCGGTGACCTCGTTGACTCATTTTCACAATAATATTGAGAAATTCTGGTTCAAGATGATGTCTCCATGCTTAAAGAGAATACAAATGGAGTAAAATGGAGAAAAGACGAGAAAAGGTGTTTGTTCAAAAAACTAGTAATCTTCATGTTTACTATTCTCAAGTAAATCCGCCATTAAAAGTGAGGATTAACATTTGTTTGTTTTTGGTTTGTATATTATTTTTTGTTTTATCCAGCTAACAAGAATATTTAGTTAAAAGTAATAAAATAAGAATAAATTACAAATATCCATATTATTTTTGAGCAGTTTATATAGCAACAAAATTTTTATGGGACACTACTAGATGCCGAAACTTGAACGACAGTAAGTATAGAAAGACCTAAGTGATAGGCATGTAGCAAACTATAGGGTCATCACCTCACTGGCCTCACGATGAAAAGTCAAAATAAATACTAATGTGTGGTGATTAGTGACCGTTAGTAGATGATTATTCAGAAATCGTCTGGTGTGATGTAGGTTTCAGAAAAAATTTTCTTTATCGTGCCAACGTTTCGATCTTTATAGAGATCATCTTCAGTGCTCAAAGTGTTTGTTTTCTGCGAAAGTGTGCCATTCTTGCGTGTCGTGTTGAGAGGGCACTCAGAAGACGATCTCAATAAATGTCGAAACGTTGGCATCATAAAGATAATGTTTTTCTGAAACCTACATCACACCAGACCGCATCTCACGATTTCTGAATAATAGATACTAATGTATAACAATGTATATTATTGTATTTATATATTATTATATATTCTCCGATATAATAGATACCAGCCTTCAACATTATCAGTTTGTATTAAAAATTAGGAAAATTATTAATTATTAAAATTATTAAATTATTAAAAATCAATGGAAGAAACTCATTTTTGAAGGGGGTTGGGACAAAATTCAGGGTCGCTGAAATCTGATCCCGCCCCTTCCATTGATGAGTGCCAATTTCTTTCAATTGCGGCCACCCCCTTAGGCCCTTAGGCGTCAGAAAAAAAGTCCAGAGGCGACGGTGGGGATCGAACCCACGACCGCGAGATCAACTAGCCGAGAGTCTATCGGTTATCGCGGCCCCCCTGAGATATGTTACAAACAATCTTAGGTACTGGTTACTGGTTTAGACATATTTATATATTAAATTTTATACATTATTTCAGTCAAAATTGTGGCCTGTGATGCGGACATGTCCGAAAACGTACTCACACCCCCGCTCAGGCCGTCGATAGACAAGGGAAAAATGTTTACAAGGATAATTGGCCACCTGAAAGACCTTTTATGCAGTAGTTAGAGAATGATGGCACGAATGATGGCAATTAGCAGATTTGGATGTACAAGCCGAACCCACACAATGAATGGCGAGGGGGAATGAGGATCGGTGCAATTGCGATTGACACCGAGCGTTTAGTCATTTTGTAACACAAGATTCCGACACAATAGTCCGACTTTAATGTTTATGCATTTATAAAATGTACTTGACAATTCCTGTCAAAGGAATTATCAACTTCATTAAATTCACTAATTTCGTGGTCCGCTTGACCAATTAATATATTACAATTAATTAAGTTTTTTAGTTGACATAAAAAAGTCAATGTCACGAGCGGGATTCGAACCCACGATCTTCGGCTAGATACGCCTCTGCTCTACCACTTGAGCTATCGTGACCTCGATCCACTCGGACACCAACTTCCCATCTCAGGAAGGAGGCAAAACTCAAAAGGTGGGGTTGAGATGGGAAGTTAGTGTCCGAGTGGATCGAGGTCACGTAGCTCAAGTGGTAGAGCAGCGGCGTATCTAGCCGAAGATCGTGGGTTCGAATCCCGCTCGTGCCATTGACTTTTTTATCTCTACTAAAAGCCTTAATTAATTGTAAAAAAA